TGTTTTCTGCGTCATCATCTAAATATGACTTTTTAACACTTTCCTTTTCTGTCTCAGATTTCTTCTCTCCAGGACACACCTGAGCTGTTGGGTTTCTTGAGGAACGCCAGCGCTCCTCATCACCGCCACAAACGAGCCACCACTGCAGCTGAGAGTTACAGCGGTAAAACCTTGGTGAGCCTCTCCTTCGTGTACATTCTCTCAACAGAACAACAAAAATGTCCTTGAAAAACTCATAGTATAGAATGTCATGGGAAAATTCAGAGCGGTGTTTCTAATATTCTTCCTGACCTCTCACGTAAGTAAATGTGAAGGACAAAAATGATAAACACCCCTCAATAATATTGTCCACTCTCTGCGCTTTGTCTCTCCAGAACTGCACCAACGTCTCCTGTCTGAGGATCACGTGTGTGGTTGGCCGGTTGGATCGTGGGCAGAGCGCGGTGGTCAAGGTCCGCTCGAGACTCTGGGCTCATACTTTCCTGCAGGTCAGTGTTTTCAACTGTCGTCTAGAAGTTGATTATTTGTTTGATGCTTTTCATTTAAAACAGCGGTTGTAAAGGCAAATTCACTTAAAGGTTCATTTAGTGGCAGTTCTGTACATTTTGATAACATGAGGGGTAGCTGTGACTCCCTGGGTAGTGTAAAAGCTGTTTGAATGTTTGATAGAAAGCGGCGGCAGCGTTCAAGCAAGTCAATTCTCCATTTATGTGAGCAGAATGATTTTCCCGTTTGTCATCGCTGTCCAAATGATCATTTATGAACTTTAGGGACTTCTCCTCCAAGTTGTCTTAAAAGCTAAGTCTCAAAGTTGTAATTGTACAATAAATGTCTTACGAGACAAAAATAATAATAAAAACATGTGATTGCTGAAATTGCACATTTTAAATAATAATGTTATTTATGTCTTACAGCGGCGTAACGACCCCTACATCCTCAACTCTTCTGTGTCCTTCATCGTCACAGCCATGCCCTACCGCATCCAACCCTCCAGTCTGCCTCAACACACCTCCTCGGTAAGTAACAGCAGTGTGTGAGTGTTAGAAAAAGGAAATGCACCAGCACCTAGAATTACTAACTGAATCTCTCCGTGTCCAACAGATGGGGACCCTGGTGCTGTGGGGGACTCCTGATGTCTCCTTTGCTGTCCCCCTCTGGGTCATCATCCTGGCCATACTGCTGGGGCTGCTGGTGCTTGCCATGCTAACGTTAGCCATGTGGAAGGTAAAAACATTATCCAGCATTCCTTGTAGTAGTTTGATTATCCAATATGACACTAATGGGTTAATGTGATTCCCTCAGTGTGGTTTCTTTGACCGGGCGCGGCCCCCAGCTGACGATGACATCTCCGACCAGGAGCAGCTGACTTCTGATCAAACAGGGGACGCATAGGAAGATGTGGGACAACCTACTATCAAAAGACTGTGGTTTGGGAGGGATGTGAACCTTCTGAGTAATTTAAATCAGATCTGAGATCTGTATTAGTCGGACCTTACTTTCCTTGGCTGGAGGTCCTCTTCCTCTATGGTAATGAAACTGACAGTCTGAAGAGCGCAGCGCCACACAGGCTGGGACCAAAGAACGAGGTTCAGAGTGGGACCAAAACACACTAAACCGGCCCAATCACACACACACATGCCCATTGTTTATCCATGGTGATGAAGCACCAGGACTGACGTCAGAATGGACTTTGTTGTGAAGACAATGCTTTAAATGTTTCTGAACATTTCTGTGTGTGTGTAGCTGAAGCAAGTAGACATAAGATGTATGCACAAGTGCTGTTGTGAGTGAGTGAGAGAGTGTGTGTGTCTATGTATGGGTGTATGTAGGTACTGTACATATGTGTGTGTCCTTTAGGTGCATCTCATGTCAACCTTTCCTTCAGATGTAATTATTTCCCACCCTGATTGTATTTATCTGGGCTGTATAAAGATTTGAACACACACACAAACACATGCAGATGCAGCCACACGCATAAACATAAAGCCACAGAGTTAATGTCTATATTTATGAATGTATGTGCAATATTTGGACGTTGTGTGATAATGAAGCTTGTTTACACTGGCATTATTTTATTAGAGCTTAATGTTTCCATTGTCTATGTATTAATTGGTATATTAGAAATAAGTGATGCTGAACAACAAAGCAATTGTTTGGATTGATTAACTGTAAAGTCCCCCTTGTACATTTTGAAGAGCAAGCAGACAAATCACTAACTTATTATTGTCTTGTCTGATGTAATGACTTTAAAATGTTATCTTAAGAAACAGATGATATATCAAAAACCCATGTAGTAGACAGTCTGAGACTGTCACACACATACTGTGTAAGGCATTTTAAAAGTGTGATTCATGTTGCCATTTGCTTATTTGATATTATCATATTGTGCACAGGCAGGCAGAACACAGCTGTCAGGGCATCAACAGCACGCTGAATATAAAATGAACCCTTAATGTGTCATCATGATTGAGTTGTGCGTTTTTGTTAGTGTGAAGTTTGATCAGAATAAAGTTATGTTTGATTACTTTATTTCCATCCATTCAACTGGACCATACATTGTATTATAATTTATTCTATATCCACATGCTTTGGGAATATTCATTATGAATCGGAACACATGTGGATATACCTACTATATAGCATTGATAAAGTAGCCAGAATCCTTTTTGATTGAATTATATTTATACAAAAGATTTGGATCCGAGGCTGATATCTCCACCTCCAAAGGAAGGACTCGTGCTCCCCCTGGTGGTGCATTGTGGGAATGAACCTGCATCACTGTTTATCTTGAGGAGCAGCACAGTGAAAGGTGTACATGTGTGAGGAAGGACAGGGGCCTCTGCTGGTGATCCATGTATGTCAGAATACATTTGAGATAGAAGCAGGTCTGTTAAAATGCTCCAGTGTTTTCCTGCTACAAGATGCTCTGGACAACCGCTTGTCGTAACATATAGTCTGTAAATCTGTAATGCATGATGGGATATTGATTTTGTGGAGCCCCACAAAGTGTTGTTTTGGCAGGTGTGTTTTCTAGTGCTGTTTTTAGTTATGAGACATGAACATTGATTGTTACAATATTTGTTGGACTAGCAGAGCCTACAGTTCACCCACAAAGAGGAATCCACACTGCATCTAACTGGAATATTCCTTAAAGAAAACATGCTCCTATCTAATTATCTCTGGTGCAGTATAGCATGTTTGTCACTGCTTTTACTCCGCAACCTTTAAAATGTATTACCAACTTACACACAATCATTTTGTTTGACAGGGAGCTTCCCTGGTGTTTCGGTTGTGAGTGATTCAATGCACATGTAGCTCAGACTGCTGCGGTTAAATTAGACGCTCATTATTTCAATAATTGCATCAATTCAAACACCACGTGTAGTTAATGAGTTATTCAACTGCAAATAGAATTACTATTCATCAGCGGGGAAGCTAGTAACCCAGATCATCTTAAAACACAGCGTGAGTGATTTACATCTTATCTGCTCCTCCCTTCAACTGAGGGCCTGTGTGCATGTTCTCGGCCCAATGTGCAGCGCTGCTGAACTCATTCAGGCCGTGACCTTTAATGGTGCGCGTCATGTGACTGAAGCAGTTCAACAATATGTGAACAGAAGTTATGCTGCTCATAGGAAATGTCTTTCTAATGTTTCACCTCATCAATCACCACATTGATGATATTCATGTTTATCCTAAATTGTTTTGTTTTCTACCTTTAGTTTTTATCAGAGTAGCCTATAATCTTTAACAATAAATTCAGTATGTATATATACACTGTATATACACATAATGTATGTTTCAGAAGAAAGGTCAGAATATAAAGGGAGATATTATTTCTTAAAGAAAAAATAATTAAAGTACAAATATACTCACTAAAAGTAAAAAAAATGTTATTAAGATTTATTATTTGTAAACCATATCAAAATATAAATTATATTTAGGGAAAAAGGAGTAAACAGCATTTTTCAGCCGGAGATTCTGCCATCACTCTGCCCAAATAGTCCGTACTTCAGTTGTCAGTGCTGGTATTCAGAATCTGAAAGTTTCTTGTGGGAAATATCAAAGCAAGCGAGCAGAGGTGAAGATATTATCAGGCTTATCTCTAGTGGAAACATTTATCACAGTCACACAGCTGCCAAACCACATATTCACATACAAAGCCTGCCAAAACACACAATTCTCACAAAAAAAAAAAGACACTGCATTTTTTCTGTAGACTCTTTTTTATTTCTTTGAATATATTTGATCAAATGTAAAATCAAACATCTGAAGTAAAGATTTAACAGTTTCTGACTAGCAAACCTCAATACCATCAAATAAGGGAACATTATTGATAATTACTACATACTGTACGTAAGACATACTGTATCTTAGCTGAGATTTATCCAACAAACAGACCCGAATTACAAAATATTTTTTAAAAAGTCTTTACTCCCATAATATCCTGGTTATGAGCTGGTGCGAAAGAAAATATATGGTGAAGCAATATCCTTTGAAATAAATGCTGATGTATTTTTTTTAATTAAACTTCACTTCAAAGGTCTGTACATGGCGATCAGTGTTTCTCCTCTCCACCGCTAACAAGGTCATACCAACATTATAATGGAAGACTTTGGCTATTTACAAATCACTGAGAGGCTGTACTGTTAGAGCACAGCTTCTCTCAGACATGCTGTACATTACATCTGTGTATTAGTTAGACTAAAACACCCCCCACCCAATATAACAAAGTGCAATTCCATAGATCACCACAAGGAGGTGAATTTACTGTCAACATCATTGAAAGGCTCTGAAAAGCTCGAATTTGGAGGGGGTCCAGCGTATTAGTAAGTACTTTTAATATAAACACCCACACACTCGTGGTCCACCCTCATGGAGTGTGTAAGATACAGATTGCGTTGGATTTACACTACTGGGGGCCGACCTACTTCTTGGTTGTTTGCCAATGTTCTCACCTAACTCAAAGCAAGAATGTATTAAGTGTATTTCCCAAAATATGAATTTACTTCTTTAATCATCAATCCTACATGCCACAGTTGTGTCTGCGTCGTATCAGGTCTGCATTTGAAAAATAATACAATTACTTAAAGAAAATACAAATACAGACACAGACAACAAGAGAGGAAATGGCTAGGAAGACAAACGCATGAAACAGTACCTCTATTTTGTAACAGTGAAGAATATAAGACCACATCTTTTTTGTAGAACAGTCACTGGGCAGTGTTTAGCCTGAGCAGTCAAACACAAACAGAAGAGAACAGTCTGGTTACTCGGTTTACAATAAACAACTTTCAGGAGTTATACAAAGTAAATGGCTATTGTGATAAATTGCAGTTCATATTCACACACACACTGCATGTTGTGCGTAAGCCAAATTCAACTCTGAGGAGGAAACATGTGTGTGGATGTTCTCTGTAGCACATTCATGAACATTAGATCCATACCTGAACTGACAAAAACCATAGCAGGGCCACTTTGATATTGTTGAGTTAATGGAATGATTGAAGAAGGAGGCGTTGTGGCACATACAGTACATAGGCTACATAAGGGTTAAAATATATATACACACACACACTGTACACTCTGAAGGATACACGTTACTGTACATGATCAACTCTGTCTGTCGTTCTCTGTATAGTAGCTCTGTCAGTCATCAAAAATAAAGTTCAGATAGTTTGCCCGATGTGTGTTTACATTCCCTGCCCTGGTATATAATGTGTTTTCTTAATGATACATCTGTAGGACAGATGAGAAACAGTCAGTTGAATATTTCCATTCAATCTAACAGCTGAGGATCAAGGACACCACCACACTCCCGCTGGATGCTTCATCAAAGTGCTGCTGCTCAGAACACACACATACCATGTGTTTGTGGACATGCACACACACACACACATACATACATACATACATACATACACACACTGTTCCTGAGTATGAACTGTAGGATATTTATTTTGGCTCTACTCTAAGAAAGAAACACAAACACTGAACTAAGAGAAAGAAATCTGTTTTAATCAAACAGCCAATAACAGGTATGAACTTAAGTAAAAATTACCATCATTGAGGAAATTAGGTTTCAATGGTAGAACCCAAAGAACATGAGCTGCTGTGAACTAAGTAAATATATCTAAGGCCATAGTTTCTGTAAAGAAAGCTAAAGGATAGATCAATAGAATTGGAAGGTAACGTAAGTATCATGCCTTCTGTTTATATATTTGTATGGTGTGTTTGAATTCAAAGTTTCTTTTATCAATATGATGTATAGGTTATGCGAATGATATAAAGACTGCAGTTTCTCTCATTGCTACACAGCCATTTAGTCTCTTTCAACTTTTTGTTTTGGTTGTATGGACTTCATAAGTACCAATTCTGGAAGGTAATATTATGTCAGTGTTTATTTTGCTGCGCTTTTGCTAAACTAATTTAGCCAAGTTAGCCAACTATTGTTTATTATGCAATAGGAGTCCAAACATAAATTGGCTAAAAACTCACTTGTAGGTTTTAGATAGACCTTGGTTTTCTATTTGTACCAAATTAAAATGCAGAAAATAGCAGGGTTAGGGGTGGATGCTGTCAATGAAAGGAATTAAATACTTGTAATTTATGAAAGTACATTTGACTGAGGATCTTCATCAGAACAATTGGGCTTGTGTGTAAGTGCTCTCACCTGCGCAGTGGTATCCTTTTGTAAATTGATTGGGGAGTAAGGATTGATAATTAATTGATTTACATTCAGGCCTTTTCAGTCTTAGTCTGTGCAGGTTGTATTGAAGACTGAGCTCACAGCTACAACCTCACAAACACTTCTTATTCTGTTCTCCGTATGACAGCCGCACAGAAAACACACCAACACACTCACAAAGGCAGACGCAAATAAAAACCAGTGGCACAAAGACAGATATGCCAGCGCACACATCTGCAATGCTACGAAAATGTAAAAAATAGTTCTAAAATCAAATAGAAAAACCTCAAGGCAGCAGATATCAAAGCCAAAATGATTGCGCTCTATGACTAAACCACTCGTAAACTTCACAACAAACCAAGTGAACAGTGAAGCGAACAGGATGAGAGTCAGAGTATGGCTACCCACTTTGTACACGCTGACATCGGGGTCTGTGCTTGTTCATGTGATAAGAGGAATGGTTGACCAGTCTGCATCCAACAGGTTTACGTGACAAAGGAGATGCAGCCTGTGATATGTGTCCATTCATACTCAACATTCACACTGCATTCATTTTTGCTTTCAGCATTGATTGCACTGATCTCGTGTGTGATACCACTTATGAAGTTGCTCTACTGTGCTTCAAAGTAGATATCAGATTTGTGTAAAGAAAAAGAAAAACATTTACATAGTGTGTAAACTCAGCCTATATTACAGTCCTCTGGATAGACAGGGGATCAAAACAAAGCGTTAAAATCCCTTCAATTCTCTCAGCAGTCTATTCTTTTGCTCAAGCGCCTCTCAATGCCAGTACTGGAGTGTCCCTCTATGCTGATTTTAAACTCGTGAGGGATGAAGGAGGGTTTGGGCAGAGTCAGAGGGGGCTCCTCCTCGGCTCTCTCAGTCTGGTCTCGCTCTGGAGCTGACCAGCGTCTCTTGCGGGATGTGGGTCTCTCTTGCTCACCACATTGTGTTTTGGTTAGAGCAGGCGTGTCTGTTTTCACTGATTCCTGTCTCTCTTCTCCATTCCCAGAGACTGCCAGCATTGGTCCCGCTCCGTAGACCCCCTCCCCTGGTCCTGGTCCCTGCTCCCTCTCCAGCCTGTCTGCACTGGAAGCCTTCATGAGGAGGCCACTGTTTCTGCCCGCTGCGTTTGGACTCATACTGTTTCTTACAGTGGCCTCCACATTGTGACAGGACTCTGAGAGGGGCCCGGTCTTCAGCTTGGTGCCCAAAGCCTGGCCCTCCGTTAGTGAGGTGGTCCTCAGGCCGCGGAGGGTCAGCGACACGCACACGTCGCCCACACACAGTTTAGCGCACGACAGCTCAAACAGCTGGGTGGTCCGGTCTGGGCAGCAGGAGGACCAGCCCTGGCCAAATACAAAGAAGGGATACTCCAACAGCACCTCCACACACACCTGGAGGTACACAACAAACACAGTTAGCTTATAGAAACTGAGTGAAACATTTATAAAAGAAAGCCCCTATGTGCAAATGTTTATGGGATTATGGACCTTGGAAATTAGTCTGTTGACGCAAGTTTTTGTTTAAAGAACAACAATTCTGAGGTCTTTTTTACAGGAGACATTTTGTTTGTCTAATAATACAATGAGTGATGGAGGAATAGCACGTAGCTGCTTTAGATTCAGGGTCCTGGTATGTGTGTGCTGGCTAACTTTGATAGACATGGAGTTGAGCCATTGCTATAATTAAAACCTCTGCTTTTCCTGCGTTGACGACTCAAAATGTCTGCTGTTATTAACGTATTTGTTCAGAGCCAGACCAATATATTATTGTAGCTTATTGAAGATGAATTGATTAACAAGAAAACTGCACTGACAAATTTACTGTTTCATAAAAAAAAAAAAATTAATTAATATGAATTAATATTATTATCAGCCAATTTATCAGTTGAGCTCTGTAGCACTTTATAGATATGTGGTCTAATATTTATATTTTAGCATGTGTGCTCTGCTGGAGAATAACGATATGAGGGGATAAGACGTTTTCAATTGTCTAAGTTTTAAATCAGATTGATTTTATTGATTTTTTTTTGTAACTAAGGGCTTTATTAATGACAAGAGTGAGCATTAGGGGAGCACAAACCACAATGGTTATTACTGGTTGATACATTTTCTCCTCAATTTAATTTGATTTAAAAAATAATGTATAACTTCCTTTTAAATTTGAACGTATGTGTGCATTGCCATCTGCAGTCTTTGGGGGGCGCCAAAGTCTTTCCCATTTTACACATAGTGAGTTACAGAATGTAACTGATGGTTGATCATACAAGCTTACCTGGGCTTTGAGCTCTCCCACAGAGAACTGTATGACCACAGCATTAGGACTCTGCCCGTTGTCAATACGCTCCACAGTGCTCGAGTCAATCTTCAGCTCACTGCTTATCTCAGCACTCTGGATGAAGTCCTCCGTTTTCAGATCCTCCACACGCTTCAGCTCCCCATCGGCCAGCTGGATGATGGAGCCTCGCATGAAGAATGGAGGAAGCGCCACAGGGGAGGAAGGAGGGGAGACGGAGTGGGAGGCTTGGATGGAAACATGGGTGGGACTGGGCACGGGAGCAGGGGTCGGGGAGGGCGTTGACACCACCACGGGAGCCGGGTTTGAGGGCAGGACTGGCATCGGCGGTGCCGGAGCGACGGCAGGGGGTTGTTGGTTTCCATCTGGCCCAAGAGCCTCACACTTGGACAGAGCTGTGGCCAGATAGGCATGTGGCATGGCAGTGGAGATCTGAGGGGTGGCTGTAGCAGTAACAGTACGACTAACCTCAATTTCTGTGCCGTTATTGGTGCCGCTGACTGGGATGAGAAGGGACTGGCCGCTCGGGATGACCAGGTGCTGAGGCAGCGCCGCATGGTAGCTGACACCATGCTGATTTGCACTGGTGATATAGCCAATGATAGGTGGCTGTGTGGAGGAGTAGAGATTGGCTGGCATCTCCTCGTGGGGAAGAGTGGTCTGGATGACTGTGTGAGGAGCAACTGACTTAATCAAATCTGAGGAAGAGAGGGAGGTGAAGGAAGAAGATCTGGACACTGGTTTCCCCAAGATGATGCCTCCTTTCTCAGTCTGGACGAAGGAGATCTTATTTGTGCCACAGTCACGGTCTGCTCCGTGGTTGGGCTGGGCCACCAGAACCAGGGAGGTCTGGAGTCCTCCATGGTTGTGACCGTAGTCTGCAGGCAGGAGGATGTGTCTCGCCTCATAGCTGTGGACTTGGTGATGGCTCAAATGATGACTGTGAGTTTTAGTCTGTTTGATAACCTCTAGTTCCCCGTTCAGTAAACCCTTAACATGCCCCTCTGGTCTCTTTCCAATTGAACCATCTGCATACTGAACCAAGAGCTGAGAGGGAGCCAGGGTGAGCGTTTGAGGGAGGACGGTTGTGTGAGGGTGGAGCTGGAGGTGGGCGGTCTGTGAAGACATCGTGTTTCCGCTGACAGTCAGAGGTGTTCTGCTGTCCAGATGAATGTACTGGCTGGTGACCTGGGGAGAGCCCGGAAGTGACACCGGAGTCAGTTCTGTGGGAGAAAGGCCTATTTGAAACTGCTGCTCCCCTTTGTTGTTGGGGGAGATGAGAGCAGTGGTGTAACCATCGAGATGGGAACGCTGTCCTATGGTAGAGCTGTTATGTGCAGAGCTAGCATTGGCTGAGATGATGTGAGAGGAGATGTAGCCGGCGTAGGGTCCGGAGCTGATGAACTGAACGTTGGGTCCCAGCTGAGCGAACTGGATAGTCCCGGCCTGCTGGGGCATGGCGGTGGGGTAAACTGCCGGCAGAGAGGTGAGGGGCACTGCAGACAGAGGAGCGGCCGAGGAATAGATAGAAGTGGCAGGAGAAGAGGAGGAAGTGGAGGAAATCGTACATCTCGGGCTCTCTGCGTCCCGGGACCTGCAGCGTTCACTGGCTACACTTGCCAGCCAAGCTAGGTTCTCGGTGTGGGGACTGTCGGCCATCACCGCAGCTGGAGGGGCTGCCACCACCACCGGCCTCTGCTCCAGAGCCAGGATCTCACGCTTCTTTGGTGGCAGGCATCCATTATTGCGCTCTTGATTGGATTTCATTGTGCCAGCGTGGTTTTAATATTCCCAGGTAGTAATTCTAACTCTTTCTCTCTGCTCCACTCAATGGTTATGTGCAGCCTTTCTGTGATCTGTGTGGCTCTATTTGTTTTCACTGGTGGACAGCTCCAGGTCTCAGACCAGAGAAGATGGAATCACTCCAGCTCACAAAATGAGCTCCATAGACTTCATGAGGAATCATCTCTGACAGATCCACCTCCTCCACGATGTCGTCAAGAATCTGATGGGAGAAAAAAAATCTAAAATCAGACACTCAGGTACCAGCACATAACAATTAACAAGCCCAAATCCTATACTAAACAGATGTGTGTTGCCCTCTTTGACAGCTTCTGTATCGATTAACTTAATTCTGCTTAACTTGATTTTATGTTCAATTCAATCTTATTATATGGATTGCACTGCCGAACTAGCTCTCATAGCACAGCCTGTAGTTGTGAACCATTATCACAAACTGTGCCTACAAATGCATAACAACAACAAAAAACTGCATGTTTGAGGAGTTGTTCTTTGTATCAAACAAGGCGGGTATAAAGACAAAACCGGATATTTGTATGTATTTCTATTACAGTGGCTCCCAACCCTTGCCTTAAGGATCGATTACTTATCCCTGAATAAACCCACAACTGCTTTTTTTTAATAGATATTTGACATTAGATTCAATCATAACATTAAGAACAACTGATAAGCTGTGCAATTTAAGACAACAAGTGGACAAAATAACTGCAGGAAGTTTGGGTAAGACGAGCAATTTGGATGAGTTTTGACCAGTTCATTTCCTGTGTAAAAATGTTCCGGTTTTATATTACAAATATAATACAATTATAAGTATGTGTCCAGTTTTCTTTTATTATTATAAAAAAATCCTACATACACAATATAATTTTTTTTTACATAAATCAGTTTAAATAATTGCTTGGCCATCCCCCATCAAGTATTCATATAAAGCTTGTGTTTAGGTTTTCAGCATGACATTTACTGTGAGATTTCTTTTTTAAAACACGTTTGAACCACTGAAAATCAAAAGACCTTGCGAACCCCCATAAAGCTTTGGCCAACCCAAAGTTCAGAACATTGGACTACACTCACCTACCCTTTAACATTAGTAGTGATATATGACATACAGGAAAGTACAGCGTTGTGTCATCATTTACATAACATGTAAAAGTGCTCGTTCATGTTTTCACCACCAGGCAGGGGTTTCCTGAAATGCGGTGTGTGTGTGTGTGTGTGTGTGTGTGTGTGTGTGTGTGTGTGTGTGTGTGTGTGTGTGTGTGTGTGTGTGTGTGTGTGTGTGTGTGTGTGTGTGTGTGTGTGTGTGTGTGTGTGTGTGTGTGTGTGTGTGTGTGTGTGTGTGTGTGTGTGTGTGTTCATCTGTACAGGGTAAGTGTATGTGCGTTGCTGTCGGCTGTTATCTCGCTCCAGGCTCTAGGGTAAGAAAGCAGAACAGAGCAAACGGATAACAACACTGAGTAAAAGCCTCAAAGGAGCTCATGTCTTTGTTTTAACTCTCCCCTGCCATGCTTTAAGTCAGTGGGGCTACTGTAAATATAACATCCACCTTCAACCAGGAACTCTGGGTGTATGGGCAAATCCGAAAAACAAAGTGAAAACAATATGGCTGCCAATTTGATTATGGAACATTCGGCAAGAAGCATAAATGGCCTCACTGAAGTGCTTGACAATATCTTAACAATGGCTTTCCGCTGTTCCCTGTTTGAGTTGTGTTTCAAAGTTCAAGGAAATACGAAAGGGGACAACAACATGCATGTGGTTAGGTGAGGGAAGACTGAAGGCTGTGTACTGCAAAAGGCTCTTTCCTTACTCTCAGCAACAACAAAAAAACATGGGAAGTACAGTGGAACTGATGATGTATCTAAGGTTGTTTAATGAAATGGAACCAACAGCAACAAGCCACAACAGCAGCTAGCCATTTTCAAAGTTTGAGTGCAGGGTCACCCCAAAATGCAGTCTTGTATACTGTAGAGTAATGTATGCATAAAATAGCTACAACATGCACACCCAAGAGAAAATAAACAATGTGCAATACATCTATTATTTCCACAACAGTGACATGCAGCCTGTAGCTTTCTATACGATTTATTTCCCAGATTGACTGTTCTTTCCTGCAGGCTTATCTGTGGGTCAATGCACACGACTCTCAGTTGTTCATTAACCAGAAGCACCACAGAGATGGAGTGTATGTATGACACACACTCACACATTCATCCATTCATTTTTCTCCCCCCTACATTCCATTCAAAGGTGCCGGTCTATTTGACAGTCTTATATTGTATTTTCATATAACAGAGGAGGTTCACTACAGCAGACAGCCACAGACGTGTTACATAAAGACAGAGTGGAGAAAACACAGAAGGAAGCCTTGGTGAATTTCTTTGTAGATGCAACTACCTCTAATGTTAGCTTTGACAAGGTCACTTCATCTAAAAGCAGTGAAAGCCTCCGTGCAATTCATCTAACCATACAGCCTTGTAGATCTACCAGATGTAACAAAGGGGGAGAGCAGAGCAGAGCTGGAGAGAAACAGAATCAGAAAGAGGAGAGTGAGGGGGAGGAGAGGGAGAATAGCAATGTAAGATGACAGAACTGTGTAGAAGGAGGAAAGGGAGTATGGGGGGGGGGGGGAGAAAAAGAAGATTAGGGATTGAGAATGAGGGAGAAATAATGGCGAATAGGGAGAAGAAGAGTGCTGCTTCTCCTGACCCACATTGAGCGACGCCTGCAGCATCAGAGCGCCATAGCCTCCGCCTGGCTGAGAGATTCCCGATCAGCCGCCACTACAGCCTGAGCTACACTGTGCAGCATCGCTTAGTGGCAACAACCCCACCTCAGCAACGGCGTGTCAACACTGTGATGACATCACATCTGAAGCACAAGTACCTCCTATGATTATAGCACAATAGGAAGTCAGCATGGTCTACTTTCATTCCAACGTAACTGTCAACAGATTGGACAGCCAGCTCTCAGAGACGGTGTCTTTCTTTTCCTCGTATGACCCGTACACAGCACTCTCTGCACATGGTCACATACAGCGCAGCAGCCAAAACATTTTCCAGCGTCGGCCTATTATTAGAACACTGACACCAACAAACATACGGCCTGTGTGATACTATGGAGAACAAAGGCGAGCTTTCAAGACATGACCAGCATGTCACACCGAGCCAGACAGCACTACAGCCCTGAGTCAGACCCCTGGCCCACGACTGTCACCTCTAAGACAGATTTGAAGGGATGACAACAGAGAGTGAGCGGGGACAGGACTCTCTCTGTTTCGCTCATCACACTGATGCTTTTCAGCTCTGACTGAGTGATCGAGCCAGCCTTGCATGTGATCCTTCTACATACTCCAAACCAGAGAAATCGGCGTTTTGCAGCAGGGTTTGTCCGCCGTCACTATGCATGCAGGCAAAGGAGCAGAATAGATGTTCTCATTCAACCTCCTCTCTGTTGTCTCCAGGTGAGAGGCCCCCCCAGCAGAGTTACATCTCCTATCTCACGCAGCAGTCGCCACCTTCTCTCCTCCCGCCTGAGCCCCACTATTTACTCCTCGCATTGATCCACACACGGCTTCATAGCAATAACATTTCTCTGCAGTAGGATGATGCAGGGGGAGCGATAGAAAGGCAACAACATCATTGAGTGATAAAAGATGCAGGACATTCATGCATAAGGCTAATGCAATGACCCTGGAGTTATAAACCTGTTGTCACTCCTGCTATGCATCATGTTTCACCTGCTACACCAGTCATAGATACACAGCGAATACCCCGTACAGCAAATGGCTATATATAGAAAACAAAAACATAATTATCAATCTGAGCTCTGCCACGAAACAGAGGGGGAGGTACTGTGGAAGACAATATTACTGCATGTGTGATTTGCTGCATATAAACTAGACCTCCCCTCTGCACATTTACAAACAGTGTATGGCTTATTCTAATACACAAAAGAGCCATTTTACTGCCCCTTCTCTGTACAACAGTAGTGCCTGTGCCTTTAAGAGGCGGACCGACCGTGTGGCAGACTAAAGCAGACAGTAGGAAAAGGCAGTGGGCTCAGGCTGTTTGTCTTTACAATGACTCCAGAGTTCTGCATCACTGCCCGACACACACCAATCACACAGTACACAAGCAGAGCGGGCATCCCTCTCCACAAGCAGCCCCGACCAAACAGGGTCAATGCTGCTGACAACAGCCCACAACGGTGACTCT